TGGTTGTTCGCTTTTGGGTTGATAAAGGGACACCATGCAATGATGTGAGGCACTGACCAACATCCATATGATCGTGCCATGCCTTTTGGGTAATGCCCATCTTTTCCCAGGGCTTGCCAGAGGCTGTGCTAGGATGTTCCGGAAAGGGACGTGGCCTCTTCTTTCCAACTCTACCAAATTTAGTACCTCCCTTGTTGGAGCCCATCTTTTCCTAGGGCTTGCTAGAGGCTAGGATGTTCCAGAAAGGTACGTGGCCTCGTCCTAACTCCACCAAATTTAGTACCTCTCTTGTTGGTGACTACAGTAGTGATGTCACCCTTCCATGACTCACTGCTGCTACTGGTCCCACCGTCGGTTTTCTCGAGGGGTCACCTCTCCATTGACTCGTCATCGAAAATGACAAAGAGGTGATCCTGACGTTTTTGCCTCCACAAGATTCTTTTACCGATCCCATTTCCCTTAATGACTCTAGTGGCCTGGACGGTCATTTGCTCTCGCTGCAGAGCAAGATCCCTGAGCTGTCGGTAGTTGTACTTACCAGATTTAGCTTCTGCGACAAGTTGACCTCGAGTAGGCTCAAGCAAAGCCCATGAGAAGATATACAGAAGCTGGTTGTCTTGCAAGTTCAGACCAGGTACCCAAGCAAAGGATCAACCGCACGAGACAAAGCATCTACAGTGGTCCATCGTTTTTGCCTGATCGTAGGCAGTTCATCAAAGGCCTTATCTGTTGTTGTCTTGTTGAGGAACCTTTCTTTGGTTTTTTGCAGGAATTTACGTTGGGTCATCATTTTAGCCCACTCGCCCATGTCCTCGAAACCAGCCGCATTGGGCTCAGACAATACCTTGGCAACTTCTCCAAGGCAAGAAGTGGAAAATGCCACTTGGCTGTGTTCCACAACAGGCGTTGTCGAACAGTACGTTTGGATCTGTGCCATCCACAACAGTAAGTGTGCCCCCTTATTATTTTTGATGGTCGAATTCATCTTTACCTTTTCCTTTCTTTTCGGTTTATGACCTTCCTCTCTCTTTTCAGTCAATATGGGACCACGGGATTTGATGGCGTCGTTATTAGTTTCTTCTTCGGTTCCTGTTTTTCCTGTTTTTCCTCTTCTTGCACCACCTTGTTCTTTCCTTTGACAATCCGTTTGTATTGAGTTCTGCGGTAACATGGTCGATTTTTTGTCTCAAGGTGTGCAAGACGCACTGTCATGTTCTGCACCAAGGAGGCTAAATCAGATTCTGATCCTGTATTAATTTTTTTCTTTTGTTTCTTCAACTGCAATAACTCAGCTCAAATCTGCATTAGCCGTCGGCTGCAGGTCGTCACTTTTGGTCAAAGGCCCGAAACAGGGGTCAAAAGTCACGCCCTAAGTCGTGGTAATGTGTGAACAAGGGCCTGATGTCAAGGCGTACCTTGCAAGGTAGAAACTGGCCCTACATGAAGTAGTTGACCCCGGGAAAGTTGATGGTCAACCCCAGCTCAGGAATCCAGGCCCATAGGTCAAAGTCAACCCGCTGGACAGCCTCAGCGATAGATTGGATGCACAACATTGGTTGTCTGCAGGTAGATGTGGGGAATCTGCAACTGTACGATTTCCAGGCCATTGACTACCGACAGATCTGGGCTGTCGTACTCAGGAGACCGCAGGCTGGTCAACGTGAGTCAACGCTATAAGTTGACCCAGCCCTGCTTGAGATCATCCAGTCTTGTGCGTTTTGCTTGACGCTGGCTTGATGCTAGTGCGACAACGCGAGACTGCCGGAGCTTGATGCTGGCACCATTCTCTGTGTGCGGGCGCCAGCCTTGTGGGTGATTATGCGGACGTGGCCATTGCCACATTGACTGCTACATTGTGAGAGAGGGCGAGGAGCAGGGGGATCTGGACTGTGAGATTGGTCGAGTGATGAGGAAAAGCTTACCTGGATGTAGCTGTGTCGATGCGTGTGCTTGATGCACGTCTCCAAGAGGAAGATCTGCGCCATCCTTCGTGGCCGCTGCTGACGTGGCAGGAGGATGGGCGCCTTGCTGTGACCTGTTTGTCGTATGTGTCAGAGATCGTCAGGGAAGAACTGTACTGCTGACGTGGCGAGAGTGTGGGAGAGCCTGAGGAGGAAGTGGGCAAAGAAGGTGTTTCTGCTTTATCGATTCGTGTGGAAACTAACCTCTCTGTCTTTCCTCCCACCTTCCTCATCTTCTTGATGATCGGGACATTGGAGGACTATGTGTGACGAACATGGTTTCATGAACGATTTTTGGAGACATTGATGAGCTTGTATCTCGACATTTGTGAGCTTCTCATCTGACTGGGTTTGTTACACAACTTTCTTTTCTTGCTGTTCTTTCTCCCTTCTTTGTCTCACGTAGGCCTCCTTTTTCTTTCTTTCTGCCTGCGATATATCTTGCAATTGTTTGATGGTTGCATCCATAATTTCCTCATTTAATTCTTTTTTTTCTTTGATTTCACTTGGTCCTCCCTTTTCTTCTTCCTTGACTTCCTTACCAAGCCTCTCCAGCTGTTGAGCGACATAGCGATCGAGGCTCAAGCGAGCCTCTTTGATTATCTGCTGCACGCCTCCGCTTACTTCCATGATCAGAACAGCAGTGTCAGCCTGCCGGAGTTCGTTCTCTGCTGCGCGCAGATCGGACTAGCTGCGTACATGCTGTTCTGCATCTGGGCCGGCGGCGTGCAGTTCAGTGAGCACCTGGTGCAACCTGGTTAGCATTTGTTTACGTCGTGCATCTCTCTGCCCCCTTGTCTTCAATTCTTCCTCATCAGTGAAGAAAGTGAGAGATGGGGAAGAAAAAGAGGGATGAATCGGGTCAAAATTGATGCCCGCAACCAAGTCCAAAGGAAAGCCATGTTTGCAAACGAGTGTGCCGCACAATAAAACCGTAATATTTAGAAGTTAATTCCACGGCCTCAGCCACAACCCTCGGTATGTACGGCAGCAGTAACCTCTCTGTGCAGTGCCATGTAAGCACTCCACGTCAGCTCTCACTTGTGGTCTTGCCAGTCTCTCTCATGTGCGACGTCAGCAGCACAGTCTGCCACATGGCACACCGAGGTGTCTCGCTGCTTGTGGAGTGTCACTTGAATAATGGCCTACCTGATGCCGCTCTTCTCCTTCCATGGCAGACATCATCATCATCATCATCGTCACTCGTTGTCATGATCAGCAGCTGGCAAGGCGCTCTGATACCAAATTGTAATGAAACCAGTCGTTTTGAGAAGCCAATCAGTGTTGTGATACAAGTCTGAACCCAGCACGCAACATAGTGTCTCCAAAATCGATTATATGTCCATGCCCAGCATATGTGCGCTTCCCAGGTGACCTAATTTACTGGAGTCTTAGGTTACAGAAACATTTGAATTAAATCCATACCATAAGAAAGAGCAAATATCAATATAGATTCTGAGAAGAGCCATATGAGGCGAAAGTCTCACGTATGGTTCGGAAGCCGAGCCATATCAGCAATGAGATGGTTTAGGTTAACAATCGCTTTTTTAGTCTTCATTACTTCCTTCCTTTTATAATTGCAGGTGCTAGTACGTAATTCAGGGAAGAGAATGAGGTAGCGGGGAGAAGAGACAGAGAGGAGGAGAAGAGGAAGAGTCCCCGTCAATCATGCATGAAGTTGTATGGATGAAGTGGGATGCATGAAACCGCTTCCTGTCCACTTCCTCCTCCGGCATTGCCCCTTCCTGTGGCTGTCTCCCTCTGACGTTCTCTGACAGATAGTGTGCAGGTCTTAGCCGGGCATCCATCCTCAATCCACGTCAGCAGCCAATCAGGGAGAATGGAGCACGTCTTCTTCACCTTCGTGGAGACAAACAGCAGATCGCACGCGACGTCGCCAGGTAAGTCCAGGTCAACACCTTCTCCAGTCTCACAGTCTCGATCCTCCTCCTCCTCTCCCAACCTCAACACCAATGTCTATATCTATGGCAGCAATGGCCGCTCGAACATAATCTCCCCTGATGCTGGTGCCCACCCAGCAGCCCTGGCGCAAGCCTAGACTTCAGCAGCTTCGCGATGTTGTACTGGCATCAAGCCAGTGCAAGGAAGAATGCCTTCCCCGGGGCAAGCCTAGACTTCAGCAGCTTCGCGATGTTGTACTAGCATCAAGGCAGTGCAAGGAAGAATGCCTTCCCCAGCGTCTGACTCTTCTTTTGGCTAGGACTAGTCTCCCTTTGACAGCGTCGGCCCTCAGATTTTCCCGATCTCGATGGCCAGTTTGCGACCTTGCAGCAGCGGTACTTTTTCCCAGTCGGAACTGGAATCTTCCGGATACCTGCACACAACCAATGGTATGCATCTGATCGACAGCCATGGCTGGTCAACGGGTTTGACTTTGACTTAGGGCCTATAATGCCATGCTGGGGTTGACTCTTGATTTTCCAAGAGTCAACTGTCTCACGTTGGGGTACTAGACACAGGTTTTGATTCAGACCATGTTACCCCTTGACCCTAAGGACTTTCTCAGCCATTTCTCAGGCTTGGGAGGTGACTTTTGACCCCTGTGTTATGATCCGGGCCAATTTTAAGATACATATCCATCAGATAGTACAATGCCGTGCAATTGCAGAAAGAAATGAATGAACTTGAGAGGAGAGAGAGGATTAGAAGAAGAATAAGAAGTAAGAAAGAAAAAGAAGATGATGTACACCAGCATAGACAAATGACAAGGCTCTTCTTCTTCGCCCAACAATCTCCTCCTTATCTCCCCCTTCTCGTAGTCATACAAGAAATAATAATACAATGTTGAATGGCTGATCCAGAATCAATGTCCGAGTTCCTCTTCTACTCCCTGCATCACTTGAGGTCCACCATAGCCATGACCGCCGCCTCCTCCCTTCCTTGTCATAGGCCGAGGCTATGGTGTACTACTAGGCCTTGCCCAGATGTCCAAAGGACAACCCAAAGCAGATATGGCCGCGTCACTCAGGCCGCCATGCCCAACTCTGCCCTGAAGCTTCTTGGTATGGCTCTCCCCAGTTGGGGACTCCCTGCTGCAGCGCCCACCAAGGTGATGAAGATGGCTGCCACCATAGCCAGGTAAGTACCCCTGGCAGTCCTCCCCCTTCCTGTCCTTCTTCCTCCTCCGTGTCCTTCTCCTTCCCGCAGCAGCGCTGCTCCTGGATAGCGCTGCTCCAACCGGCGCTCCAACCAGTGTGTCGCCAAACTTGCAACGCCGAAAAAGAGGCCTGGCTCTTCGCCCGGCTGGGAGATATAGCGGCCTGCTTGCCTCTTCGGGCGGTGACTTCAGGCCGCTCGGCCTTCCAAGCAACTGGTACCTCTTCCCTTTCGGAGGTAAACAGCATTGCAGACTCTGATATTGCCCGTACAGGCCCCAGACCCAGACTGGTTGGACTGGTATCCGCCTAGACCTACCCCACAACCACTGGGCCTCTAAAAATGCCACTTTTGTCTTCTTCTGCTTGGCCTCCAGTACCCGCACATCTACCTCTTCAGGGTGCGGTACCGGCCTACCCGCTGAGTGTTTTTCCTGCTGCAATCCGTCGATGTCACGGCCACAGGTAAGTAATGGCCCTGAGGGCCCAATGAACGAGCAAGTGCCCTTGCGGGCCACACACACACTCAAGCCAACCAGCACTCAGACAGACATGCAGTTCAGCAAGCGCGCATCCACAGACTTAGTAGCAGGCGGGAAACTCAGCAAGGCATTCATTCAGTCTATGGGAAAAACTCAGAAATCAGTTGTGTGTTTCAGTCCATGTTTGGACGGGTCATCACACCTGTTTGTAGCCTTTGACCGAAAGTGACGCCCCTTGCTTGTGTCTGTGCAGCTGTCAACTGAGTTTATTAAACTTATTTCAATTAGGGCAATCTTCTCTTGGCCATGCCCAGCAAGTTGCTTCGTGGTTCCCATTCAGAAGTTCTGGGGATGACACTTGAGGTTTGCTGGCAGCTAATGGTCGCCTGCTTTGCCTCACAGCAGCTTTTGACAACATTGCGTCAGGATTACATGCTGAGGTACTACACACAGAGGAAGTACTACACACATACAGTGCGCAGTGACCATTTGCAGGCTGAATGTTTTTGGGGCACATCGGAAGAGTACCTGTTTGCTATGAGTGGCAGTGCTTTTGGCCTACAACCCTAGGCAATGGGGGGTTCATTCTGTCAGAGTTCTAATACCTCTCCGAAGCGTCAAACTTGATGCACTTCAGTTTACAGGTTTGTAGATGGTGATTTCTATGGCTCCATCAACCATATCAACTATAAGACCTTAAATTATGTTCTACAATTATGCTGGTGCTTTGTCATGTACAGGAGTGCAAGTGTGCTTCTGCTCGCAGGTGTGTAGGCTCTTCGGCTCAACCACACAAGCGCAGGAGCAAGCTTGCATTTGACAAACATCCAGCATATGTGGTCTCTCTTCATCAGTCCTTGTACATGTTAATGTTGCTTTTCACTCCAGTTACTCTGAAGTAGCGAAGTTGCCCCTGGAGTTGTTTGACTGTCTGTGTCCTATGATGAACAAGAACTTCTCTGTAACCAGCAAGAGTGTTTGGCATTGGGGAGGCGAACACAGGCAGCACTCTGTTTCTTTGAAATTCTGTCGAAGTTCTTACTATTCTCTGATGTATGTGTCATCCTTGCGCAGGGGACATTGTGCATTGGTCCAATGTCGACACATGCTTCACTCCTCAGTTGTTTTCTGATTGCTGGCTCATCCCACCGTTCTTCCCGATGGTGTTCTGCATCTACTGTATTGCAAAGAGGCCTCTCGTCCGGTCTAGTGGTCAAATGTGTATTGAAGGAACCGAGGTGAAATCAGCACACAGTAAGTCTCATAGTCGTAGCTTTTGGCGACGCTGAAGTTGTGGCCCTAGAGAGACTCCAGAGTCCTTTGGTTGAAAGGCCTTAGGTAATCTGTCAAATTGACCTTGCCAGGGCCTGTACAAGGTCGCTCTAGGAAAACTAACAGTTAGGCTGTACTCGGATACAGAAGTCAAAGAGTCGTAAAGAGCTCGTAGGGTTGAGGCATACAGTGGCTGTGACCAATTTGTCCATAGATGTGTCAGCAATACTAATAAGCAACCTACAGTAGGTCACAGTCCCCACTACAAAAGCTGAGCCTGCCACAGCTTGAACATCCTTCCTCGTGGTATGGAAGGCTGGATCGCCACCATTTAAGCGCTAGCATGACAGGAAGGCAGACGAAGAAGAGACGGAAAGTGCGAGTGAGAGTATCATAGCTAGGGTAGAAGGTGTGCCTGCAACATAGCTTAGCATGAGAGAGATTTGAGGGGGAGGCAGTATCACCGAGAGAGAGAGAGAGATAACCGAGGATCCGCAATGTGATGAAAAGGACCGAATGGACAATGCAGTGCTAGTGAAATCTCAACAAGCAGTGTACATCCTGATACACACAAAAATGGTGCTTTATAGCGCAGTGGAAGACTTAGATACAAGTCCTGACCTGACCGGGACTGGCCTCTCTCACGTAGTGCAAGACAGTGCAGCAGAATGCTAGAATACCAATGACTAGCCCAATCAATGTCACAGTACAGACCAAACATACATCATCCTCATCACAAGGTGTGAAGGGGCCTGGCGCTACACACAGGAAGAATGCGCCAGGTCCAGTCCATACACAGACGAAGAGGAGGGGAGCAGACGAAGAAGAAGGGGGAAGATGGCAATGTCGCCAACACCAAGTCTTCGTTACAAGTCCCAGATAATCCCTCGTCAAATGTCTCAAGCTCAATGTCGGGTCTGGATCCAAATGTCACCAAGCCCGCTCTCTCATAGTCTGCTGATGCAGTGAAGTCAGGTAGCGAGAGGGTGAGAGGGAGATGGACTGAGAAGAGGAGGAAGAAGAACTCTCTCTCTCTCATGTGCCAGGTACTAACCGTGAAGATGGCGCCGTGCTGCAGGTACCTCGAAGGTGAAGCTGGAGCTATGGCGCTGCACGTAAGTCTCCCTGGCCTCCGCCCAATCTCTCTCTCTCTCTCTAGTACTACTCTAGCTCCTAGCGCCCAGCGCTGAAGACTACTGCTAGCTCTGCTACTACTCCTGCAGCGCTCCTCCAGAGTGCTGCTGCCGAATCCTGAAGACTACCTCCTGCCTCCTGAACTGCACGTGAAGTGGCTAGGAAGTACCTAGGAACTACCTGCAGCCTGCAGGGAGGGCCAGTCCTGTATAGTGCTGGCCGGTCCAGGAGGCTGCTCTTGCCAATGCCAAAATGTGCCAGACCCTGGGGTTGAAGCTCAAACAAAGGTTGTCTTGAAAATAGGCCAAAAATGGCCTGAGCTAAAACCCTGGTCTGGTGCCTGAGTTTCAGGGTTGATCTTATGAGGGCCTCCTCCGTTTCAGGCGGAAAAGACTCAGGGCCGGAAAGGCCCTGTTTTAGGCTGAAACGACACAGGGTGTGGCATACTGCGTAGTCACACGGGCCCTGCAGGGCCCGTCCCTGACATTCAGCCTAAAAGCCTAAAACTTAGGGCTTACAGGCCCCGTTCGTTTCAGCCTGGATGCTGAAAAACGAGGGCCTGCAGGCCCTACCCCGTTTCAGCCTATTTCTGGGTCTTTTCAGACCCAGAGTTTTCAGCCTGAAACGGAGGGCCATTTTCAGGCCCTCATTGTTTCGACCTGCCCCTAAGACTCAGGCACGTAAACAGGGATGCGGAACAGGCCAGAAATAGCCTGTTCCTCACGAGTTTGAGCAGGAGCTGCAGCTGCAGCCCCTGCGTTCCTTCGGCAGGCTCAGGAGGCACACCCGTAGTACATAGGAAGTTCCCATGCACTTCACGGGTAGGTAGTTCAGTAGGCACAGGAGTAGTCTTCAGGATTCGGCCGCAGCACTCAGGAGGTGCGCTGCAGTAGTCTTCAGCGCTAGGCAGTAGTGGTAGCGCTAGCTGTAGTCTTCGGCGCTGGGCGCCATAGCTGTAGCTGTAGTCTTCAACGCTGGGCGCTGGTAGGTGGTAGATCGTAGAGTGGGAGAGAGAGACTGGCGGAGGCCAGTGTTACTTACCTGTGGCGCCATCACTCCAGCTCCATCTTCGTGATACCTGCATCGAGGCGCCAACTTCACGGGTTAGTACTGGACAAAGAGAGAGAGAGAGAGTTCTTCTTCTTCCTCTCTAAGTCCACCTTCTCTTCTCACCCTCTCGCCACCTGACTTCTCAGACTACGACAGAGAGAGACAGAGTTGTGACTTGAGACTTGACGACATTGGATCCAGACTTGACATTTGGGATTCAGACATTTCGACGAGGGACTATTTGGGCTTGTGCGAAGACTCGTTGTTGACGACATTCCCATCTTCCCCCTCCTCTTCGTCTATCCCCTTCCTCTTCGTCCGTGTATGTTCTGGGCTGGCGGTGTCTTCCTGTGTGAAGCGCCAGACCCATTCACACTATGAAACGATGATGACGATGCATGTTCAGGGCTGCATTACAACATTGATTGTTCGGATCACTGGTATCTAAGTCTTCCGCTGTGTTATCTTGTACTTTGTATTGAAAGGTCGGTTCTTGTTCTGGTCTGCACGTTACAGTATGCAACAGTTTGGTATCCGAGCGGACCTCTCATTCAGAGGACCCGCTCAATCAAGTAGGCAGCTTGCGATCTATTGATCACTCATTAGTAACGCTAGTAGGACTTAGTCGAATATCTGAAAATTTTTTCTCGCAACAACTATCTAAAAATTTCTGATATTCGCATTTCGTTCTATCTGAAAATTTCTGATATTAGTAGTTCGTTTTACGTGACAAATATCTGAAAATTTCTGATAAATCGTATTTCGTTTTGTCTGGAAATTCCGATAGTTGCATTTCGTTTTCTGATATTCGCATTCCGTTTTACCTGAAAATTTCTGATATTGGTATTTCGTTTTTATGTAGAAAATATCTGAAAATTTCTGATAAATCGCGTTTCGTTTTGTCTGAAAATTCCCGATAGTTGCAATTCGTTTCTCTGATATTTCGCATACATAGCTGAAATTTCTGAAGTTAGTATTTCKTTCTCTAGGCATTTTGGGATAACGATAGAAATGGTCATATTCTCGGAAACTGAAATTATTCTTTTCTGAAAATCGAATTTCCATTCTATATCGCAATTTTTTTTTGAAAACCGGAATCTTGCGAATCCTGCCAATATTGCGTTAGGCAAATTCGGAGGTTGCATATTCTCAGAAACTAGATTTTCCTCTCTTCTGAAAATCGCATCGTTACTCCATTTCGCAAATTTTTTTTTTCAAGATCCAGTTGGTAAAAGCCGAAAATTTGCGGCACCTAGCCTAGATCTCCTTCATAATACTCTTCTGACATATCCTACTCATCATAAATCGACAGATATATACAAAAAAAAAAAAAAGGAAGTAGTCCTCTTTTTATTTTTTTTATTTTATCTGTTGATCAGGGCGGAGGAAAGTATTGTTGGGTTGGTTACCTCCCTCCATTTTCCCTCCCACCCACCCCTTGCATGCATTCCGTTTCGGTACAGTGCCACGATCGCAGTACCACGTCAGCAGTGCCACGTCAGCAGTGCCACGTCACAGTGCTAGATCAGCAGTGCCACGTCAGCAGTGCCAGGTCACATTGCCACGCCAGACATAGTGCCACGACAGCAGTGCCACGTCAGACACAGTGCCACGTCAGCAGTGATGTCCGACACAGTGCCACGTCAGCAGTGGCACATCAGCAGTACCACGTCAGACACAGTGCCACGTCAGCAGTGCCACATCAGCAGTGCCACGTAAGCAGCAGTGCCACGTCAGCAGTGCCACGTAAGCAGCAGTGCCACGTCAGCAACATGACGGGCCTGCCAGGCCAACTGGCCAATGAGACCATTGCCGCCTACAAGCAGCGTTGCCTGGCTCAGATAGAGGCTGAGGAACAACGCCTGCTGGCAGTCGAGGCTGCCCACGTACAGGCTGAAGAGGCAGCAGAAGCAGAACAGCTGCGGCTACAGGCCGATGCAGACACAGATGCCCAGGCTCGCCGCAAGGAAGCCCAGGATCTGCTGCAGCGGCATGAAGCCAACAACATCGACAGACTCAAGTACTGGCATTTTGAACCGAACGGCGACGAGGCAACACCGGAAGAGAAGCACAAGGAGTTCCTCTCCAAACTCGTGACGCGGTTGTTGTATGCTTGCAACTACCAACGGTCAGAGTTGGAGAGACAGTACCGGGACCTGACGCAACAACATCAGGAGTTGGCGACGCTCTGCCGCACAGTGCAGGGCCATGAGGATGCAACTCGGGCACTCAATGCCCGATTGTTGGACCTGGAACAGGCTGTACCAGGACCAGCTTCTGGGGCTTCCAGCAGTGCACCCTCAAGCCGCCAACTGGAGGACCGCGTTGACCACATAGTGGCAATGCTCGGCAACATCAGCACTTTCGCTACGCCGACCACCACCATCAGCAGTCAGCTGCATGCATTGAAGACCGAGGTCCAACAGCTGCAGACGACGAACGCAAATGGCAATCCGAAGATGTATAAGATGCCAACGTTCACTCTGGAGAAGTTCGACGACTACGTGCAGCAGGATCCGGTCCTCTAGTGGGAAGCATTCACAATGCAACTCAAGATTCTGCCCGTAGACAAGCATGCGTACATCGGCGCCCTGTTCCTGAATTCAAAGGGCGGATGCCAGACCTGGTTGACCCACTTGGCAACCTCCCGCGGCGTCGACGTACCAGACTTGAAGGACGTAATCACATGGGAGGAACTGACACGGCTGTGGAAGAAGCGGTTCATCGTTGACGACGCGCCAGCACTCGCCATCAACCGACTGTTCACCATGTCACAGGGCAACACAGCAACACGGGACTGGCTCACGGAGTGGCAGAAGATTGCGGCTGTGCCCAATCTGAATCTACCATTCGAGCATCTACGCCGTGAGTTCTACAACAGGTCCTGTGCTGCATTGAGCCTGGCTCCTGGTGATCGCGAGCAGTACTCAACCTTCGCAGAGATCATTGACAAAGCGAGGGAGATCATCAAGACCAACAGGTCAGCTGCACACGAGAAATCAACATCATGGCARCSGACCTATGTGGAGAAGGTACGAACTGGTCCGCGACAGCAGCACTTCGCTGCAGTCCAGCAGGACAGTGGAGATAACCCAGCGGCCACTCCAGCATCAAGTGACGGAGATCAGGTGGCTGCTGTCCAGCCGCGAAGCACCAACAAGTCCCGCAACAATAGGAAGGCGAAATCCGCATCGCAGGCCGGAAATGGACAGCCAGGACAGTTTCCATGGGTCAAGTTTGGCGTGACAGAGGCGAAGTACAAGGTCCACGGCCGCTACGGCAGCTGCTATTGGTGCAACAGCACCAAGCATAAGACCTCCCTGTGCCAAGATCAAGGCAAGGAGGATGTGCGACCCCGCCTCAGCTCGGGAAACTGAGCTCCGCGGAAGGTGAGGCGACCCCACCTTCTACTCCGCCAGATTCGGCCGCCTTGCTAGCGACCTCCTGCACATCTGGGGAGGATGCGAACGATGCGAATGTCGCAAGTCCTCGATATACTTACGAGGATTATGCTGTCCACTTGGTTCCACCGCTGGACCAACCGCTCCACGTGCAACACTCCACCGCATGCACGGTTTCATCACCATCGGCAACCGATTCGACAGCTTCGCCGCAATCTATTGCCGGGGATTCGACGTCATGGTCAAGAGTGACGTTCACGGACTTCTAGTGGATGCCCGTTCCCTCGACCGGACGATTGCCGAAACGGCATTGCAACGTGCTTATGGCACAATTGCGGGACTACTTGCACACTGCAGTACCAGCTCCGTTGATGGACGCCGGAGCAGAGGTTGTCGACCTTCTCGCGTACATTGCGAAGATCGACCGCAAGTTCAAGACACAACGGTACGACGACATCGACGCACCATTGCTATACATACGCATTCAGATCAGAGAGGCGACCTGCAGTGCCTTGATCGATTGTGGAGCATCTCACAACTACATCAGCCAGGACTTCATGGTACGTGCCGGCCTTGGCCCACCTGTCCGGAGGAAGTCCCAGCCTACCCTGGCAGACGGTCATACGCACAAGTCCATCGACCGGTGCATTGAGGCCGTCCCAGTGTACTTTGCCCCTCACGCAAGTGAGGCGGTGTCCTTAGACATTCTGGACACCAAATTCGACATGATCTTGGCATGTCATGGCTGCGAAGCAAGGATCACCCGGTGAACTTCTTCAACCGCACCGTTCACGTTCGTGACCGGAACGGAGTATTAGTTCCATGCACGGTGCCTCTTCCTCATCCTTCGATCAGCTGCCACGTGGTATCCGTCGCAAGCATGCGAGCTTCCATCATCAGAGACGACATCGAGAAGATGGGGGTGTGTTTTCTCCACGCCCTCCCGCCCCATGACGCTTCATCGACGGACTGACCTTCGGATCCACGCATCACCGAACTTCTCGACGCCTACAGCGACGTGTTCGAAGGCCCGCACGGAGTAGTACCGGATCGACCCATCTGCCACGAGATCATCCTCGAGGACGGGGCCGTACCTCCGCGCGGTTGCATCTATCGAACGAGCGAGGAAGAGTTAAGTGTGCCTCGGGCACAACTCGACGCCTTCTAGAGAAAGGATGGATTCGGCCTAGCTCATCGCCATACGGTGCGCCTGTTCTCTTCCTCCGGAAGAAGAACAAGGACCTGCGGTTGTGCACCGATTATCGCAAGCTCAACGCGCAGACGATCATGAATGCCGGCCCTCTCCCACGCATCGACGACCTTCTCGAGCGATTGGGCGGTGCCTAGTTCTTCTCCAAGCTGGATCTCAAGTCAGGGTACCACCAACTCGAGATTCGTAAGGAGGACCTCTACAAGACCGCGTTTAAGACGCGATATGGGAATTTCGAATGGCTGGTCATGCCATTTGGCCTCACGAATGCCCCGGCCACTTTCCAAGCAGCTATGACAACGGAGTTCCAACACGTGCTGGATCGATACGTACTTATCTATCTCGACGACATCCTGGTGTACAGACGGAGTTTGGAGGAGCATGTGGAACACCTGCGCACCGTTTTGGAGCGGCTATGACAGGCCAAGTACAAAGCCAACCGCGACAGGTGTGAATTCGCGCGGCAGGAGCTGGAGTACTTGGGCCATTATGTGACGCCGCAAGGCATCCGTCCGCTCGCGGACAAGATCGAGGCCCTACGAGTATGGCCCGAGCCCATCAACACCACGGACATTCGTTCATTCATGGGATTGGCGGACTACTATCAACGATTCATCACCGGATACTCCAGGATTGCTGCACCTATGACGAGGTTACAGTCGCCAAAGGTGCCATTCGTATTCGATGACGACGCACGCCAGTCATTCCAAGCACTTAAGACGGCCATGCTCATGGCACCCGTCCTCAGCACCTATGACCCCACCTTGCCGACGAGAGTGACTACGAACACTTCTGGCTATGGCATTGGGGCAGTGTTGGAACAGCACGACGGCGACGACTGGCACCCTGTGGAGTATTTCAGCCACAAAGTGCCTCCCATCAACTCGCTTGATGATGCCAGGAAGAAGGAGCTACTCGCGTTCGGCATGGCTCTCAAGCAATTGCGGCACTTCCTCCTTGGGCGTCGTAGGTTCACATGAGTCACAGACAACAATCCATCGACCTACTACAAGACGTTGGATATGATGAGCAGCACGATCCGACGATGGATGTACTTCATCGACCAGTTTGACTTCACACCGAAACATCTACCCGGCCTCTCAAATCGCGCAGCAGATGCACTCTCGCGAAGACCAGATCTTTGCGCTATGATACATCATGCCTTCGCATTCGACGAGGAGCTTCAGCGACACTTCATTTGGGCATATCAGTCTGATCCAGACTTCGGCACGCTCTATGCACAGCTATCTTTGGATCGCCCGCCGGCCAGCCATTACCGCATTGTCGACGGGTACTTGCTCCTCCACTCGAGAGGCAAGGACTTACTATGTGTCCCACGCGACCGTTGTCTTCGGACTCGCCTCCTCGGCGAGTATCATGATTCACGACTCGCCGACCATTTCGGTGTCAACCACACTATTGCACGACTTCGAAAGCAATTCCGATGGCCCGACCTCATTACCGATGTCACTCGGTATTGCGACTCTTGCGAAGTTTGCCGACGCAGCTAGCCCCGCAACCGCAATCCCTATGGCGAGTTACACCCGATGCTTATCCCACAGGAACCCGGTCTCTCCATTGCCATGGACGTCACCGGTCCGTTTCCTCGCGACCGGCTTGGGCACGACGGCATCCTCACGGTTGTGGACCGATTGAGTAAGTACGCGCGCTTTCTCCCGTGCAAGTACTACTCCACGGCTCCCGAGCTGGCACGCCTCCTGCACACTGGTTGGATTTGTGGCCACGGTGTACCAAAAGACATTGTCAGCGACCGCGACACTCGTTTCATGTCGGCGTTTTGGACTGCGCTCATGCAGGAGTCCGACACAACAATGAAACTAAGTTCGGCTCGACATCCTCAGACAGACGGGCAGACGGAGCGGGCACATCAAACCGCTCAAATGATGCTTCGTACACTCATCCGTCCGGACGAGAAAGATTGGGTTAACCGCCTCCCCGACATCGAGTTCGCCTACAACACTTCGGTGCATCCGGCGATCGGCGTGACTCCATTCGAGTTGCACCACGGTGGACGAAAAGGCCGGATCTTCGCCGACCTTCTCCTCCCTCGACCAGCCGACCTTGACGCTGCTTGCTCTCCCGCTTCCGTTCGGAAGTACAGGGAATTGCTGACTCAAGCCCGAGCAAATATGCAAAAGGCTCAAGTCCGCATGCAGCAGCAAGCCAACAGGCGTAGCGTACCATGTCCCGTCCGCGT